CTGGAAACTTTATAATTGCATCTACAATAAAAGGACAGTCACGTTTTTCGAGGCAGGTGATTAGAGTTTCTTTGAGAATTTCTACAAATGCCTCTCGTAACGGAGGCAATATTTGGTTAAATCGTGGTCGAAGTGGAATCCTTGCCATAGTTGACATTATTAGTAACATTTATAACCAGTCTCTGTTTTGATTTCTTACTCTTTCTCAATCCTTACTTTTTCTTTCAGTTATTTGTATGTAAATATTTTTATTTTAACCTGTAAGTTGTTCTTTGCAGGTGCAGATGATAAAAAAAAGCTAATACTTTGCTAGAGGTATAAATTATGTTTACTCTTTCTCAGCTGACAGTTTAAAAAGTTGGGGTTGGTTTTTTTTTTCAATGTTTGCTGTGTTTCTCAAATTTGGAAAGGATCTGCAGAAAGCAGAGAGAGGCTTCGACCTGCAAATGTCTGAGGCACTTGAGAGAAGGTGTTGACTTTTCTTCAGAGAATTCAACACGTCCAGTTAAAGGACGGGGCGGTAGAACGAGTACTGGTGAGCAAAAGTTTCTGCAGAACGATCTCACAATAGTTTGTTCTTAGTTGCTGGGCATGATAAACATCTATAATTAAAAAATAAATTGTGTGCTGACTATATATACCATTAAACATGCATTGCTTATTCCGTCTGGAGATTCTACTGTGCTTTGGAACATTTAAACCAAATAGAAGGAAGAACGATAAAAACAAAAAAAAAAAATTGAAGATATATACCAAAGGGTTAATGAGGTTCTAATATATGGTTTGTATGCTGAAAGTAGTGCGAAATTTCCAGACTAATTTTGTAAGGTAGGCGATATTTTGCAAAGTAATGGTATCTTTGTAAGAAAATATTCTATTGAAAACAGGTAGATGGTTGGTATATTTTGTAGCTAAATTGTGATCTTTACAAATTCCGAAATTGAGTTTATATACGTATTTTGACAGTTTGTATATTTCATTTTAGTAATCAAATGAAATATTTTGTGAACCAGATTTTCAAGCATATATTTTTATGGATAGTACAAAGTCAAATGAGATCCTCTTTGGTGTAGGAGATATTTGAATTAATTTTGTATGTCTGTAGGCAACTTGCAAAAAAATAAAAGATCCTAAAGAGTATTGGGGAAAAAAAAAAAGGAAAAAAAAAAAAGAAAGATCAGGGCTTTTTATTCCCCACAGTTGATAATATCTGCACATTAGATCTGATTGCTATCAGAGATTCTAGTTTGTATCATTTTAATTTGTTTCAGGTGAAAATTCAATGTTTGACATGACTAGGGCTCTTTTGGGTGTGAAATCTCCATTCTTGGAGATGCTCAAAAGGCGTCTGGACGTGGTCCTGGGCCACCTGCTCGAGCAGGGGGGGCTGGACCAGGAGACCTCCAGAGGTCCCGTCCGACCTTGGCCGTTCTGTGATTCTGTGAAATAGAAAAATGTGTATGCAGTGCTTATTGCATGAATAATAAATACACTATTTTCCATAGTTAGGGTTGAATCCTGCTTCCAGTTATGTCAGCGGGAATTGCACTATGGACTACGCTATTACAGAGGTCTTAGAGCTCCGTGTGTGTGTTGTGCTCGCTCAGATCCGAATGGAATTAAGAGATGTACTCACTCCCTCGATGTGTAATGCTTACCATATGGTCAGTCAGTATTTTTTGTTTTACTCATTTTTGACTTAATGGACTTCGTAGCAAGCAGAGCTCTTGGCAAACGGTATGAGAAAGACTGCATTCCACAATCACATTGTTAGTAGGCTACAAAAATCTGGTTTTTCCTGAAGTCTCTAAATGCACGCTGGTTGTGGACACGATCCACAGTGTGTTTCCTTGAGGCCAGACGGGAGCGTGCGTTTGTGCTGGCGATCGTGTCGAGAAAGAGCGCTGCTTTTGCGCGTCAAAACCGACAAGCACGGCTGAGAAAGTCACTGCGGTAGGGAACTGCTCCAGAAGCAGTGTTTGGGGCCTCCTGTTTCTGTCAGTGGGATTTCAGGAAAATGGAGCACCTGGGACCGTGCTGAGCACCTCAGAGAATCGGACCTTCTCGCTCTGTCTCCCGTCGGGTGCGCGAACACTCCTCGGCGTGGGTTTAGGAGGGTCTGACCTGCAGGACTGAAACAGGTTTGGTAACTGCTCTGTACGGGGTTTTGATCCTCGCTGTGTGCTCTTGTTCCTGTACCTTCTCCTGTAATATGGAATAAGAATTAAAAAAAAGCTCTCAAGTGTTAAGACTGTAAAAAAAAAAAAAAAAATGGTGGCCAATTCTTTCTGTATTCAGCAAGTGAAACAAATGTAGTGCTGCCAGACGTAACATTAGGAAATTTTTATCCTCTTAAAATAGTGTTTTGGAAAGAGCAGCTTATTTTTCATCATGGAAATATTTAACAGTAACATGAGTTTGCTCTTTGAGTAATCACTTATCACAAAGTACTTATTTTGGATTTACTTCAAAATCTAGATTGTAAGAGAACAAAATCCATATCCCGAGAGTGAGAGACAGAGCACCTAACGCTGTTCTGCTGGTTACTTCCAAACAAAACTGCGCGCTTTATATGATCTGTAAATATTTGTCAGACAATTAGATGGTTGCAAATTTTGACCTTGGTAAATAAAGTCGCCAAAATAGAATTCTGGTGTTCCTTCTTTGTTTTTCATTAACGTGGGACTGCAGTGGTTCTGACCAAAGGTGCAGGCGTTGTGTGGCATCGGGTCTTTCGCAAGTAGGTCATCTGTGAACCAGCACCCGAGAGCATTTATCTGACATGTCCTTGCAGCAGAGTACCACGTTATCTGTGCATAAATTCCAGTCATCACTGAAAATAAGTAGTGAAGAACACCTTTTACCTTTCTGCAGGATTTTTTTTACCTTTGTAGCTCTCAGTAGGCTGAGCCGCTGTTGACCAGACACCTTCTGTGCTCTGCTCGTGTTCACCCGGCAGAGGGAGTGTCTCTGCCATGGACAAAAGTGGGAGTGCTGAGCAGAACCTCAGCTGCTGGGAGCTGGGAAAGCATAGAAATCGGGTAGGAAAAAAGTACTTTCTCTTGGTAACATTCCTAAGTGCAATTTCGTTATTAGGATCAAGGCTGTTACAATTTCCACCACATAGTTAGTATGGCTGTCAAAGGTAGAAAAGAAAAAAAGATAAGACAATTGCAAACATGACTTCTGAAAATTAAGTGTACGTCCTTTGGCTCTTGGATTTATTCTGAAACGGGAGTTCTGTCTTCTCAAAGTTCTAACAGGCAGCCCAGACCGCTGCGATGGTGACACTACGGTTTGTCCCGTTACCCAGCCTACACAAGTACTGTGTGCACCACAGTCAGAAAGATGCTAAGTGGGATGCTCACGGGACTCACGGCCTCGTTACTCAACAGTTCAGATATTATCCATCTTCTGTAGTGAGATAAACGGACGTAGATCCCCGGGAATTTTGGTCGGCCACAGCCCACTCCGAAACTGGCAATTCCTATGAGGTAGTGCTTGTTGGTACCGGGGTGATAGCACGCTAAAGGTCCACCGCTGTCTCCCTGTAAATAAAACAACATCAAAAATAGTGACACATATTCCCTTCCAGGAATCAACATCGAATTAAGTCAGTAACGCAGCTGCTTTCTTTAAAAAAAAACTTTTAAAAATCAGCTAACTAGACAGTAATAACCACAGCAATACACGGGCAGTAGTACACAGACAAATGAAGATAAAATTCGGGGGTGCTGGGGGATGCTCCCTTGACTAGAACACCACCCTGCATCACTGTCAGTGTCTTCAACTAAAGTTCTGTTTTTCTTTCTGCACCTTTTCAGGCCAAGGCTTGTCTCCCTAAACTCTCACTCGTCACTTAACAGGAGGATATATTGTCCACACAACGTGTAAGTACCAAGAAAGATGGTAGTGGGTACACAACCCCGAGTCTTTGCCGTATCACCTACTGAAAGGAAAACTGCCAAGGAAAGCAGGAAGTATATCAGACAAAATACTTATGAATATGTTATGGGTTTTAATTATCAGTGTTGCCATATCCCAACTGGTGCCCCAGCTTTTGCACACCAGTGCTTTTGATCTGAGAGCTGACTTTTCTGAGAAAGAGATGCCGATTGCTCAGCATCTAAATAAAAATCTTGCTGTATCACTTTCTCGTGCTGCTGCTCTCTTTCAAAAGCATAAAAACAGGCAAGATGCTCGTGTGCTTCACACACCCCTCGTGTGCGCGGTGATGCGTGTGTGTATCCACACACGTTTGTGTTAACACCGTATCAGTAACAGCCATCTTTGTGGCAAGTGGTGTATAAATACAAAATACGTGGTATTTGTGCCGTTTTCATTAATTACGCTGCGTGTGCTGGTCGTGGTGCTGGTCGTGGTGATGCCCCTGAGGCTCTGGCTTGGTGGTTCATACCTGACAGGTGTCGGTGCCTCCAAACCGAGAGCCAGCACAGATCATGTTGTTGTTAACCACGCCTCCGTACGCATCGGACTTGTTGCAGACACTGGAAGGAATGATTTCCACTCGTGCTTCTTTCAACACAGCCGAAATTTTACCTTTAATGGAAGACAGCATATGGGAAGGTGAAATATTATTGATGCTGTTGTGTGTAGCAGTTCTTACTGTGCTCTTATTCTCCTGTTTAGCGTAAGCATGTTTCTGTAAGTGTTCAGACACGTGCGTAACACAGAGGTTGTGCCTACACCCAGAGAAGTTGTAGATGCCCCATCCCTGGAGGTGTTCAAGGCCAGGTTGAATGGGGCTTTGAGCAACCTGGTGTAGCGGAGGGTGTCCCTGCCCATGGCAGGGGGGTTGGAACTAGATGATCTTTGAGGTCCCTTCCAACTCAAACCATTCTATGATTCTATGATTTAAACTTAAGTGGGTTAAGGGTTTGATGTGGTTTTGGCAATTCTTGTTCTGAAGAAACATCGAGGATAACAATACTGCTCACCAGCCTTGCTCAAAACATCAGAGGGGACTTAGCAAATAAGCTTCTATGATCCCTAAGCTTCTATGAAGCTGTCCTTCAAACTTCCTCACCAGATGCACACCACTGACTGGCATCATGCAATGTTTGTGCTCGTGGTGAGTTGAGAGAGAATTTGAGGGAGTGCAGCCATTTGGAAAATACATGGAGACCCCAGCTTCATAATGCACGTCATCAGAATTGTTTTTCAATAAAAAAGTTATTTCTAGAAGACACTATTGAGTAGCTGTACCATGAATCTGAAAGGCTAGTTTATTTTCCTTCTTTCGTGTCCTACTTGGAAAAAAGGCTGGAAAATTGATGCTTTTGGTGACATCTGCATAGATCTAATCTGCTCGTAATGGAAAAAACACTGGGAGCAGATACTCAGTTATAGAAGGATTTAATGGTGGTGTGTGATGAGACTATAACCTGAACAAATCCAGTTCTCCCAGTGAGCTTGAGGGACTGGATCCCGCTGTTGGTTCTGTGGCTTGTAGCTCTACCCACAACACGAGGGGGGTTTTTACCTTTCTCCGCCGTGCGCCCCCAGCCGCTGATGAAGCATTCCGTCTCGTTGTCCGTGTTGGAGTAGAGGTGTGCGGGAGGCAGGCAGATGGGCTGGATGTAGTCGCTGTAGCGCACCGCGGCATCGAGTTCGAACAACGCAATATCGTTCTCAAACGTTTCTCTCTTGAAGTCTGGGTGCACAGTGATGCTTCTGATATATCTTCTTGCCGTGTGTTTGCCGTGTTTCCAAAGGTTATGCACGCCCAAAACAGCTCTCCAGGAATATGGGTCTCTGAGAGAGAATTCATGTATTTTTTACAATTATGTTAAAGTAAATACGTTTCTTGATGGCACTGTTTTAACCGATTGTTTTACTGTTGGCTTATGCACCCTTAGGAATATACATTGAAAATTCTGTAGTAAATACTTTCTGGAACAAATTTGGCTAATTACCATTCTGCCTGTTTTGAGCACGGGGTTTGCCTAATGCTGGTTATGGCTGTTAAGGTGAATTCAGATAAATTATTTAAGCTGATACTCAGATTTTCCTTCCCACCCTATCTCAGCAGAGGCCACCCAGGAGATATTCTTTTGAAAAAAAAGTAAACACATGGATTTATTTTGCAGAATGGAAGTAGGCTTATACCCACAGTACTTATAAAGACTGTGCTTGTAGCTAGATTTGGGAAATCTATTAACTAGAAGTTACAAATAATGAATATCAACTCAATATTAAATTTAGAAATAAGACCGGAGTCATTCAGACCTAATTTCTATTCAAGTATGTTGAGACATTAAGTGAGAATTGAATTTGGCTTGTGATGAGCAAAGGGCAGGCTATAAAATTCAGGTTAACCTCCAAAATTCTCCAGAGTGCTAGATAAAAATTAAACTGATTATTTGCGATATAATGCCTCTCTAAATTAAAGTTTGTAGAAATGCATTTAGAGAAACAAGGAGCTGATCCAACAAAGTCCTAATAAATGTTGAAATTCTGAAGTTCGGAGATTTTTACAGTTCCATTTCCCTCAAGTCATGGTTATGTCAACACTATGTCAACATAGTCGATACGAACTTGCATGAACTCACGTGCAGATTTTGCAGCTATTTTGAAGACTACAGAAACGACAAGCGTGATCAGATCGATTAAAAGGCCCGTTCTGAAAAGTGTTATTACCACATTGTCAAAAAAATAATAGTAGTCAAGTGCCAAATCATTGATTCTGTTAAACAGGAAAAATGGAAATAGTGTTAGACCTAACTAATTGTAATGTTTCTAATCTAAATATTGGCAGGATTTTCTTTTTGCAGTGAGCTTTATTGGTTTAGAAAAATCTATTAATCAGAAAAATTAGAGCTCCACGGTAAAAAAAAAAAAGCCCCTGACCTAACAAAAATGTCACCTATATCAAAACCAAACGACCCTTTATTAAAAATAGCACAAGTTGTTCTGGGCCAAGCCAGAAGCACATATCCAAGACTTCTCCATGTTGACTTATAAAGATGTAACTTTGCATCCTGGGCTGGCGGCTGTCACCAGCCACAACCGTCCCAGCAAAGGGGACAGCCTGTGGTCCTTAGAGCCACAACCAGTCCCTCCTTTGGGTCTTCCCAGTGAACAGAAGTTGCACAGTTTGGGTCTGCGTGTTGGTTCTGCACTATGAGAGCTCAGTCCACGTATGTCCCATGGATTGATTCCCCTTGTTCAGAGACACCACAGGTGATGCTTGGCTGATCTATCATGCCCTCCTCATACTTCATAAATAAAGAGGCACCAGCGGGAATACGTACTTCCTTCCTGTAACGCAGTGGCCAGCCGTAAGTACTGATTTCTTGTTAACTAAGACACCACCGCAGACGTGTGCGAAGCGTGGGCCGGTTTGGTGGCTCTGGAGGCTGACGGCCCACGGCCACGCTCCCAGCCGGGCGTTGTGTCCGCCTACGATCCGGGAGACGGAGACGCCGTCCGAGACCGGCCGCTGCCCGCACTCTGCAAAACGGAACGGAGTCAGTCCTATCGTTCCAACTGAAAAACGGAGCTTTTGGTGCACTAGCAGCGTTTTAGGGGTGTGGGGGTTTTTTTTGTTTGCTTTTTTTTTTTTAATCTACAGCATTACTTGCTGCAGGACTTTGGATGCCCCATCCTTGCAGTGTTCAAGGCCAGGTTGGATGAGGCTTTGGACAACCTGGTGTAGCGGAGGGTGTCCCTGCCCGTGGCAGGGGGTTGGAACTGGATGATCTTTGAGGTCCCTTCCAACCCAAACCATTCCGTGGTTCTATGATTCTACGTTTGCTGCTGGAGCTCAGCTTGTGGCCACCGCGGGGCTGTTTTCTTCAGTTGTATGAAACGTGTGTTATTTCCTCTGGTTACACACGCACTGTGCACACATTTATTGCGTACACCAAGGGCACATGGGTTCCAGTCCCTCCCACTTTAGGAATTCACTGGATTACGTGCAGATGGGAGTTTTCTCCCGTGTCTGTGGGGCGCC